CGAAACACACACATTTCAAGCTATCCACATGACATTGTATAGCAAATTACATTGCGTTCAAATATAATGAGATAGGGTAGAGTCTCCCTACCTCAGATTGAAAACCCACACACGAAATCAACCAAGAAAGTGCTCCCTCACACGGATTTTGTCCTATATACATGGAAGAATCCCATGAGAACCAAGAGAAATCGGGAAAACAGAGAATGAGGAAACCGAAACTCTAACCATTAATACTTACCTCCAAGCATTCCCAACACAATTTCAATCTTCAATCTAACTCTCGGACAACTTTGGAGGTAATTTAATCGGTGAAATAAAGTTTTAGGTCTAGAGAATTGAAAAGATTTTGAAGAGAGGAATGAGAAATGAATTTCTCAAGCCCTAACCCCTTCAAATACCCCTCTGGTTGCGACATTCTCGCTGTAGCGAGGCATTTCTCGTTGTAGCGACGCCTTTTATCGCTACAGTGAAAATATCGGAGGAAACTGCACCCTAATTTCTGCAAAATCTCGCTACAGCGAGATCCTCTCGCTACAACAAGACTGCACCTAAAAATGTACCCCTCACTGCTTCTCTCTCGCTACAGCGGGGGACCTCTCGCTACAGTGAGAAAGCTACAGTTTCATGTTTTCCTCCCAGGGCCTTCTCGCTACACGAGACACTCTCGCTACAAGAAAACACCTTGCATTATACACTTAGCCTATTTCAAACAGTCTAGAAAAATTAATCGTGATGCATAATCAGTATCCACATCACATTATACAAACATACACATATTTACACGTATATTCTCATCACCATTCAATATTTATCATGCACTTAAGTGCATATTCCAACACTCATTCACATGTATATACATATATGTATAAATAATCAATATTACAAAATTCAGGAGATTTACAATTTACAATCATTGCTAACAACCTTGCTTCTCCACTTAGCTACTTAACTCATTGTCAACCTCTTTGATTTCAAACTCTCTCTAACTATCTACAAGATCTTTGTTGCAACTTGCAACACCTCTTCTGAAAAGCCTCTGAGTTCCATTGTAACTCATCTTCTAACAACTCCAACTCTGAGTCAACTTGCCAAACTTACTTTCATATTAGCGATCCCTCACCTACACCATGCTAGCAAGGTGAATCTCTCACTCCCTTGAATTAGCTTTTTAAGGACTATAGTTGAGCACTCCTTAGTGAGTTTCACAGGTTCATGTGCTCTCAATTTCTTCTTATTGGTCAAAATATCTTTTAAAAATTTAACATATTTGAGTATTTTAGAGATGACATCGATGAAAGGCACATTGATGTTTACTTTGCCTAATAAGTCTAAGAACATGTTGAACTCTTTATCATAAGGGGGTGACCCTATAGCCACTATGGGAAATGTATGTTATGCTCATAGAGCCTTGGCTGCACAAAAGGTTCTTTTTAATTCTCTTTTTTAGGTTCTGCGCTTGAAACACAACCTTACTCATGGGAATGTATGGTTGTGTTTGTTGTTTCAGCATAGGCGTGCTCATCAGTAAGTATGGGCATACCTATAGAATCAAGATAAGCATGCTTCTCAGTAAGCATGAGCATGCATATGTCTCTGTTATGCGATTCTTATAATTTCTTTCCACTTCTAAGAGTGATATCATTACATTGCTTCCTTGATTTATGTTCAAGCTGGGTTGGCAATGTCTTTAATGAAAGGCAAAAAAAAGAGGAAGAGCTATACCAATAATACATGTGATAGAAAAGGTAAAAAAATCTTATAGAATTAACATTTTTAATAAAAAAAAATTACTTATTTGAAGTGTTTTTAAAATTTTGAGGACTAAGAAATCAAAATAAAGCTAAAGGATAGAATTAAAATTTATCTTATAATTTAAGAAAAGAAACACTAATTTTAGTCTATTAAATGATAAATATATTTAAATTTAAATACAATTTAAAAGTTAATAATTACAATTTGTTACATATTCTTATCAAGTAAAATTCATATATTTCATTTTTACCTTTAAAATTTTAGATTCAAATAAGAAAGTTTTTACGTTTATTATTTCCAATTAAAAGTATTGTATCACATGTAACTACAAAATCTTTCAAAATTAATGATTGAAATTTATTACTCAATATTTTAAAAAAATTATCATATATCTTTGAATCATGACACCTTATTTTTTTATCAAACAAATTTTATGAACAAAGAAGGATATAAGTTGATAAAATTTTAGTGGTCAATTTAATTAATTCAAGTAATAAGACAATAACAAAATAAAATAAATATTATTATCATATTTAAAATTAGTTTAATGTAAAACTTTAATTAAAATTTCACTTAAAAATTTATATTTCACTAATTGTTATTAATAATTTAAATATTAATATCTAAGAATAAAAACTAGAAATCAAAATAAGTTTTTTATTTTTGTTATGGATAACTATATAATTATTTTTTATAGAAAATTATACGTAAAAGTTAATATAAAATTATTGCATTATATGAATAGCAATGAAAATAGGTCAGACTGTCCAACAGGGACCAATGGCCTAACTTTTTTAAAACCTAATATGGCTTAACGTATTTAATTAATAGGCATAATTTAGAATTTTTAAAAAATTTAATTAATTAAATAGGTCAGACTTGAACTTAAAAAAAAGCCTATTAGGCCTATTGAATGACCTATTTAAAATTCATAAAATTTGTAATAATATATTTAATAATTTTATATAAAAATTATAATATAATAATATATTAAATTAATTAAAATTTAAAATAATAAAATCGTTAAATTAAAATCTTAGTCTTTTTGTTAGTTAAAGACTATTTCTACTACATACCTTTTAAGACAGAGAGTCATATTGAATCTCTCAATACGACATGCCTATTTAGATAATTTAATATTCTATTTACAAGAAAGTTTAATAACCTGTTGAATATTTTAATATGAAGTAGGTCATTAAAAAAATTAATAGGTTAAATCAGGCTTTTAAAAATGTCAAACTAAACTTAATAAAAAGTCAATAACATTTAATAGATCAGACTTAAATTTTAAAATTATTAAAGAAGTCATACCTATTTATGCAAAGTTTAGCTTATTTTCATCCCTATTATGAATTATCACTTTTTGAGCAATATATGAATATTAATAAATTAAAATATTTTAACGATAAAAAAATTATGTTGCAGAACTCCTTTATGTTTTAAAACTTTTATTAACTTTAAAAAGAGTAAATAAATTTATTATTGACAATAAACATTTTATTATATTAAATATGATTAAGTAAATCAAAGGGATAAGATTGCATACTAACTGAAAAAAAAAAAAAGAATGAAAATAATATTTGTTTTTTGCACTTTAAGAAATATGATACACTCATGAACAAGGAAAAAAATATATTTCACTAAAAATTAATAATTTGGCATTATATATCATAATGAATTTATAAATTACCTCATTTTAAAATATTATTAAGATTAAAATTTAAAATATTTAATTTTAATTAATTTATTTTTATTTAAATGACATGTATCTTCAGCAGAAGTAATTTGTTTCAATTAGATGGAATCATTGCAATAATAAAATTCTCATTTTAAGTATTTAATACATATTTATTGAAACTGTATTTATATTTTTTACTAATAAAATAATTTTCATTTAAATAAAATTTAAATTATATATTTTTTTTCATATTTTTTGCGTACTTTTAGATATAATTTTATAACATATAAAATCTTAAAGATTTGTTAAAAAAATAAGTGGAACAACATAACACATGATTTGTTGAAACATTAAAAAAAATTGGAAAGTTTATTATTCATTTATACTTATGTACTTCAAAATTATTTTCAAAATTATTATTGAATAAAACAACATTTTTGTTAATTAATACACACAAATTCGATGATTGTTGATTTAGTTTTACTGAAAGTTATTTTACATGTTGTATAAATATAGGTTAAATATAAAAATAGTTAGAAGAAAAAATATTTTACTAATTGCTTGAAAACATAAATTAAATTATAAAATGATAAATGTTTAAACTTTATATTTTATTTTGTTTTTACAAGTTCTCATAAAAAAATAAAAATGAATTCAATTAATGAATATCTCATATATTATATGTGTTTTTAGATAATTGTTTATTTAAATAGTTTTTTGATAATTTTCTTAAACAAAAAATCATCTTAAAAAACTTATTAAAATAATTTAAAAATAATTTATGAGAGTCATAAATTATTTTTTATAACAGTTCATAGACTCTTTTAAATAAATTCTATATATTTATTTATTAAATACATTTCAAATATAACTTTTAATAAAAATAAGATGATATGTACTTTTTGTAATTTGCTCTATTCAATAATTTATTAAAAATATTGAATTAAATTTTTTAATTTTAATTATATGATATTATCTTAATTAATTTACACAAAAAATTGGTAGTTTGAATATTAATAGGTATATTATATTATAATTATTATTTACTTGTATTTAAAAAATATAATAATTGTTAAATTAAATTAATTGATAAATATTAATTTATTTTTAAATCATATAAAATTTTATAATCTTTATTTACTCAATGGTAATATTAATTTTAATAATTAGACTAATAAAATTTCCATGTTCATAATAAATGATTAAATAGAATAAATTTTATTAAAATTTGTTCTAAAGTAAGTGAATTTGTATCACATAAAAAATATTTGACTCAAAATCTAACTTAAAATCATACAATAAATTAAAATTATAAAGATATTTAAATAAAATTATAAATACTAATTTATGTTAGATAACTTTTTCTTATAAATATATCAATAAATAAGAAAAAAAATTAACATTTGATTGACAAAAAAAAAAAACTTATTACCTGTTTATTTTATTTTCATTTTGGAAAATAAATAATTATTTTTAAAATATATTAATAAATAATTTATCTAAATTTAAGTATTTTAACTATACTGCGAGTACTCTTAAATTTTAAGAATCTACGAACAAAATTTTGAAAGAAAAAAATTATGCATATTTGTACAATTATTCGGACAAGAAGAACAAAAAGCGAAACTTCGATTGAATCAGATTCCCATCTATAACTCAAACTCCATTCTGTTCTGATCAGATCACAGTCCCCGAGATTCTTGCCACAATATATTATGTATGTTTATCATCCGTATTCTGTTTGTTTCTTGCTGTTCATGGATCCATAGTTGTCTGTGTGTTTGATTTTTTTTTTCCGAGACAACTGAAATGAATGAAAGGTTTTTATGTTTTCGGAAAATCAGCAAATGGGTATTCTAAATTCTTCCTTTTTGAACTCAATTTACGGTTGCATTTGCTGTGTTGATCTACATTTGTGAACGCGATCGGTTATTTTTTTACCCATGCATGCCTCCAAAGGGTGTTTAGTCCAGAAATTAAATCATGGCCCCAAAATCTTGTTCATATATATACTTTTGGTGATGGGGAAGAGGAGGTGGATTCCACTTGTGGCTGTGAACAAATTTTAATCTTTTGAGGTGTTAGAAGTTAAATCAGCTTTAAATTTGCTTCTTCTGAACCACTGTTACTCTCGAGTGATTTGATTGGTTTTTTTTATATTTCTCATAGTTGGGGCCTTCATTGAACCCTTGAATGTTGTGAATGTTTTTTCCCTAATTTTATGAAAGATGAAGGAAAATTATCTCTACAAAGAAAATGACTTAAAAATGGGTACCAAGAGAAGTGTTATGAAAGGCTTTAGAAAACAAAGAGGTCTTTGTAGCATATATTCAAGCTACACAAGACATGTATGCATGAGAGAGTGACTACATGTTTGAGAATTTCTAGAAGCGTATCTAAGGACTTCCCATTAGAAATAGGTTTACATAAAGGTTCTGGTTTAAGCCCTTACTTTTTTAATCTAGTCTTAGATGTGTTTACAAATGACATACAAAAGATTATCCTTAAGTGTACTCACTTTGCAAATTATATAGTGTTGGTTGAGCATTCGAAAAAAGAAGTTAATGTTAAATTTGAGTTATGGAGAGAGACTTTAGAATCTAAAAATTTTTGCTTGAGTAGAAGTAAGTCGGAGTATAATTAATGAAAATGTTATTGAGCGGTTAATGTGGAGGAAAACATCATGAGTTATTTGTCGCCAAAGAATACCTATCAAGTTGAAAGGAATGTTTTATTGTATTGTAATGACCAACTATCCTATATAAATGTTTGACCTTAAAGGAACGACATAAGAAAAAAGTGGGAGTGGCAGAAATGAGAATGCTAAAGGAGATGAGTGAATACACGAGAAATAACAAGATATGAAATAATAGTATACGAGAGAATATTGAAATAGCATCTATAATGGAAAAGATGATTAAAAATCGTATAAGGTAGTTTGGTTATGTACAAAGAAGACCTTTGGAGGCATTGGTAAGGAGAGTGGATGATATGACTCTTAATCCAGTAAAAATGGATAAAGAAAGACCCAAAAAATTCTTAGACGAAGTTATTAAAAGAGACATTTTGATTAACTAGATTTCTGAAAATTTGGTTTTTTTTACTATTATATGATCCATGTAGTCGACGTCATCAATGGGATAAGATTTGGTTGTTGTTGTTTGTATGCTTAAATTTGTCTACTAGAGGAGCAAGGAAAATGATACATATACTTGAATTTGAGTGTGGCTTATATGTAGATTTGAGGCACATTAGGTTGAGCTTATGCAAATAGCTTATAACTCCCATAAGCGTTTTTTAGCTTATTTCAGTAAGTATCTTGGTATAGTTTATCAAAATAAGTTGCTTTTAGCTTATTCCAATAAGTTTCAAGGTTAAAATTATTAAATAAGCCATAATTTAAAACGAGCTTATTGACAATAAGAATTAAGCTGTGTGTCCAAATGTACCCTTGATATCTTGAAGCTTATGCTATTGTATTTGTTTGGTTTTGATCATGTTATGTGCAGCAAAGCCCAAAAATGGCAGGGACTGTCTTCACTCCTGCATTGGTAGAACTTGAGCATGTAAAGTCTGAGCAAGGAGAAATTCTGAGCAAGCCATTCTTGGATGCGTGCAAGCACATATTGCCTGTAATAGGTACATGCTCTTGGTCCCTTACCTTGTTATTGGCACAACAATGATAAAAGAAACAATGGATATGATGTTATTTGGATTTGGAAAATTTCCTGTCTTCCCTCTATTTTTTTTAACCTGGTAGGGGATTCAATTATCCATTTTTTATAATCTGTAGTGTGTTAAATGATATTATATTTGCTAAATCTTAATGAATTGTCCCCTCTTTGAGCCAGGTAAGATGCATAAAAGTGAGTTTTTCCATAATTCTGTTCTCTTATTCCCCATTCTCCACATTCCTCACTGAGATATATTTTTTTTTAATTCAAAAAATGTAGAAAATGATTTTTAATATATCTTTCATTTATATGAACTGAATTCATTAAAAAGGGAACAGATGCACAAAGACAATCAGGAATCCTTCTAGATCAGAAACTTGTCTATGCCTTTATTGTATAGATGTCTAACTCTACAACTGCAATATGTACAACACAATAGAGTGTGTACCTATGCACTTTGGTTTAGTGTCTGCTTAAGCATTAAATGAATATTTCTGCCATGGGTTAAAAGAACTTAACACTTTTCTTATGACAGATAAATTTGGAGCTGCTATGGCCCTTGTTAAATCTGACATAGGTGGTAACATATCGGTATGTTTTTGTTAATTGCTTTTTCTGACTTCTACACGACATGCATGTCATCATATGCTTTCTTGCAGCTTTCAATGTATTATTATTTTTTCTTAAGATAACATGGTATAGTTATACCCTAGTGTTTGGTTATGATTCATAAAACACGTATGTTTTGACTTGTTTAGCAATTATACGTATGTGTATATACTGAGACCTTAATAATATTGGGATTGGGATCATATGCTATACGTTCTCACTCTATGCTATACTGATTTTCATGACAGAGATTGGAATCTTTATATTCTTCCAATCCGACGAGATTTAACTGCCTTTACAGTTTGGTACAAGTAGAGATTGAAACTAAAACAACTAAATCATCATCCAGTTGTACCAATGGACTGCTTTGGTTGACAAGGTAATGAACACCATGCAGTTGTACTTGTGTTTCATATTGGTATGACCTTCCCAAATCTGTTGTTTGGAGAGCTTCTTCTATAATTTGTAATAGTGTTAACAACTTTTTTGTTTCAAGCATAGATTGTATAGTGCATGAAGTTAGAATGGCCATCATGGTAAATTTTAGATTAAAAAGTAAATGAATTTTTGCACCTATTCCTACCCAAATTTCCGAAGGAATCTCATAAAAGTACTTTGGGGGCGTGCTTTCCAAAATTTGTGAAACTGGCTATAACTAATAGAGTTTATAGACATATTAATGTGTGAATGTGTAATCCATGCATGCCTGGATGCAAGGATGTTTAACATTTCAAATCTGTCATCACACTTGAAAGTATCTTAGGTTGTGGATCAGCAAAGACCATGTCTGTCTCTTTCTCCTAAATGGAAGAACTCCTATCTGGACCTGTTTGGAAAGAGTGGTAAACTAGAATTGTGGACAGAAGCTCTGGAATCATGTGATTTCTGATTAAAGTAACACTGAATATATGGAATGAAAATTCAGCTAGACAAACACTAGCACAAGATTTGAGGTGGAAATTGGAGTTCATATCATACTGCAAGTTATATGGTTTTAGTACCTTGAATCTGTTACACAGAGTGATAGAAAAATTGATGGAGATGTAAATTACAGGATTTAAACTGGGTGGATGAACTAGAAAAATGCTTTAGGCATTATTTATGATCGAGGTGCCTATCAAGCTCCAAAGAAAATGTTACCCTTCAGTCATAACACCAGTGGTGTGGGGCTTTGTGGTACTGAAAGTTAGGCAGTAAAGTGCCAAAAAGAGCATAAGTTAAGTGTTTCTTCAATCAGAATGTTGTGGGAGATGTGTTCATATAAAAAGGGGTAAAATCAGGAATGAATTTTTAGGGAGAAAGTAGGAGCAGAATCTATTAAGGAAAAAATGAAACTTTTTTGAGCTATGATTGTTTGGCCATGTGAGAAGTAGACCAGTAGAAGCTCCAGTAAGAAGAGTTTATCCCAAAAGGATCAATTGAAGCTCATTAAATAGAGGTATAAGAAGGAGCAAGAAAAACCCTGAGATTAAATTTGAAAGAAAAAGACAGAGATCTAAATGGCTTACTTGAAGACTTGGTATAATGATGATCATGTAGCCTACTGCACATAGTAGGAAACGTGTTGTTATTTTATCTTTTAGAACTATGGTGGATGGTTTACACTTGCTTCAATTAGCTTTTATCTTATTTTATTTCTTTCAAGATTATCAAGCTTGTGCTAGTTCAGATTGTCTTTCTCAAGACGTTGAGGTAATCATGTGATAATCTTAAATTTTATTTGGTAGCCAGAGACCATGGTTAATGATTATGAGTTGCCATTATTTGTTCTTGCAATACTCTTTATCATAAATTTATTTCTCTAACCTGTAAAATCTTCATTCTTCAGAGCAATGGATTTCTTGGTGGCTTTGTTCCGAAACTTAATCGAGCACGAGGATTGGCCTATGTCACAAGCATGTACAGATTCCTATAACAAAACTCTGAAGAAGTGGCATGGCTGGCTTGCTAGTTCAAGCTTCACTGTAATGTTCTTTTGATGTTTTATTAATATAATCTTTGATATTTTTTTGTTGATACAGAATTTATTCAAGCTCTTAAATATGAAATTCCTTCATATTGGACTAATAAATGAAATGTCAAAGCTGGACCATTTGCAGCATTATGCTGACAATTTTTTGCAATCTTTGCTCTTTATCTTGTGAATGCTTCATATTCTTATGTAGTGTGAAATATGCATTTGGCTATTCAAACTACTCTTTATTTGTTTTAATTTTCAATATTGTTTAGACATACAGCACATCAAGATTCCTTGATAAATGAGCTGAACAATGTTGTGGTCATTGAATCATTTAAATACTGACAAAAGAATACAACAACAACAACAACCAAGCCTTATATCTCAAAGTGAGGTTGTTTACATGGATCAACCGATACCATTGAGTTCGGTCAAAAACTAAATATTTAGAAATCTGGTTGATCATAAGGTTTATTTTAATAACTTTGTCTAAAGTTCTTTTAAGTCTCTCTTAACCCTTCTTTATTAAATAAGAAAGTCATGTAATCCACTCTCCTTACTAGTGCTCTCAAAAGTCTTCTCTGCACATGACCTCAGAAATCTTTTCCACTATAAGTATTACTCCAATATTCTCTCGTATACTATCATTTTGTATCAAGTTCTTTCTTGTGTGTCTACTCATTCATCTTATCATTCTCATTTTTGTCACTCTCACTTTTTTCTCATGTTCCTTTAAGACCCCACATTCACTACTATATAGGACAGCTACTCTTAGATTTTTATTTTATGGCTTCTTTGCAGTAGTCTCTTTAACTTAGATCATTGCATTCAAACACCATGCAGTCTTCCCTTACTTTGTGTTTTTCTATTATTTTGTTTGTCTTTTGTTGTTATGGTTTTCTATTTAGGAAGGAGTATAGTACATGGTACTGAATACGCATTTGGGACATATTAAATATTTGACCTATAGGTAGTCATGAAGCTTGCTCCAGATAGGAAGAAGTTCATGGAGGTGATAGGAGGCACTGGCAATATCATTGCTGACATAGAGAAATTTTGTACAACCTTTTCTCCTCTCCTTGAAGAGAATCACAAGTTTCTGGTAAGATGTCTTCAATCATTTTTGGGCTTTGTGATGATCATTAATGGTGTTGATCTGAATGGTCTGAAAGATGAGACATTGAACTGTATGCATCATCTAATTTGGAATAAACCAGATTCTCGTAGCAATATCTGTATTGAATTAAGAGGATTCAAATATAGCTTCCATTACTAACCCCTGGCAATTCCAGTAGAAAAATTATTTTATCACTGTTTTAGAAGTATGTAGGTTACTCGGGAATTACAGTACGTGACATCAATACAGAAGTTATTTAAATTAATAAACAGAGAATTGTAAAGTATATGAGGTGGCACTATCGTTCTTGCAAGACTTTCACTCATTGAGGGTAAAATTAGGAAGGAAGGACAAGGTAAAAATAATGTGGCAAACATCAAAATATGAGTGACAAGTCTATATAATGTAAAGAGAATGATGTTGGTTGTGTAGCAGAAATATGTTTTTTTGGGGGTGGAAGCAATCTGTGTGTATTAGTAATTGCTTATTTGTAATAGATAATCACTTATTTTTTAACAGCTCTCTTAAAATCTAGTAAAAATAAGTGATTAATTTTCCAAAATAAGTTGATGAACTAAACACTTATTCTTAGTGTGAATACAGAGCAATTTTAAGTTTTAAATTTTTGCTTTTTTGGCACAGGCTCGTTTTGGCTTGGACGATATGAAGGCATCATGACTATGTATTGATGGTTAGTAGTTCAAAATGAGTGGCACTTGCATGCTTATTCTCATTTCTTATTGAGCTTTTAAACTCTGCTTCACCTTTGGCATCTGGATCAAGTACCACTATAAATAAGCATTGACATAAAACGTGTACCGCTAATAACTCTATAACAGTGTTGCTTTCTCAACTTTGGTTCAGCATGTGTTGAGATATAGACATGCTATTCAATTATAAAATTTATGACAGTTGTTAAAGAATTAGTGATGAACAGACGCCATCTACATGTGGGTTGAAACAAATTGTACTTGTGAACTTTGGATGCTTATTCATGCAGTAACCCGAATGTTTTTTATGGGATTGTTTAAGCCAAATTGGTGGGTGTGAATCCACATTTTGATGATTTATATGACTATTTATTTGTTAGTTTATTTTTTAATGCTGGTGAATAACAAATCTCAGCTACTCCATTCATGTGTGTGTATAGTAAATATTTTTTATATTATGAATTTAAAGCACATAAAAAATATAACACAAATATTCACACATTGATAAAATAATATAAGTGTGCTTGTATAATTATAATAAAAGTAAATACATTTTTAGTAGATTAAAAGTTATGAACTGAATCTATTGAATTTATTTATATATAAAAAATCATTAAGATTTAATATTATTTATCTATTTTCATGAATTTTAGCTTCTTAGCATAGAATGTTTGTTGTGTAAGATCATTGATTATATTTATATTTTCAAAATCTTGTTTAGCCGTCCTTTTCATTGGAATTACATCCATGTGTAAAAATGAATCAAATAAAAGTAATATTAATTATGAAAAATTAATATTTTTGGTCTTTTAACTTTATTTTTTATTTCAATTTGATCTTTTTAATTACTTTTATATTTTCTTTTAGTCTTGTAATTTTATTTTTGACTTAAATAAGCTTTTGATCTTTATAAAAGTTATCAGGTTTGTATTAAAAATTCTTGTGACTTAAGATTCATTAGGGGAACGATGATTTGGCTAATAGTAAACCTAGTCAATCATATCTGAATAAGGTACATGGGAGACAAATAGATGTAAAAGTAAGAAAAGGGACCCTAGTCTCACAATTCCTGTATCTCTAAACCACACAGGTCAAAATACGAAAACATAAAGGCAGTGACAACGAATCTAAGGTGAAAGTTTGGATATTGTCTTTGTTTGCATAGTGGATCAAGTACGATACATTTGAAAAAAAAAAAGAAAAGAGTACGATACATTTGTCTTCGGTTTAGATTTATTTTTATTTTATTTGTCGTTCTCACCAAATGAGGGATTGGTATCGACATCCTTGTGTTTAATGACATTTTTTCATTATAATTTTTACTACTTAACATTGTTTAGTCATGTGAATTGCATTGCGTGCAACTTGTAGGCACTAGTTCTACGTTATTACAACATAATCCAGGTAAGTTTGCGAAGGACTGCCATGTAACACGCAAGACAGACATTAATTAAGTATTTCATCCATGTGACACACAAGATTTTGATGAAAAAATAATAATTATTAAAAAAAGTCTTTGTAATTATATATCATTAATTTGTATCAATCAACTAAATATTATAAAAGTTTATCTAAAACTTTCTTATAAACAATATTTACATTTGTATTTAAAATAATATTTTTATTATATATTAAAATCTTAAGACTTTTTAATTTTTAACTCTAAGGAATAATCACATATAATTGTCTACAAAACAAAACAAGGTTTGACAAATATAGACTAACATTAGATAAGTTTAACCTTAGATTTTATTTATGGTCATTGCATAACTTATTGCAATTGAAAACTGTTGACAATGGAACTTGAAAGACAATTTTATGTAATGGTTTAAGCATTTGAGTTAAGGAAATATTTCAATACATATCGAGGGAGAATCAAAATCTTCAATGAAAGTAAATTATAAACAACTAAGGTTAAACAATAAACTAAAAAACACACTTAATAACTTCAAGATGTAAAATCAACTTCTTATAATACACACTATCTTTGCAAGCTTCCTCCGAATCTTTAATCTCATGAACTTTTCCCATGACATCTTAATAGTTGAAAACTAATTATCAATAGCCCCACAAAAGTATATGAATATTAAAAGTACTATTTGTCACATTATTATAAGTATCATAGAAGGAATGACATACCAACCAAATTCGTTCATCACTCTAGAAGATAACACATCACCAAATGAGACTAGAAGTTGATCTTGAAAGTGTGGCTAATGCAACAGTGATCTCTTGTATTTTATCACATTCCAAAGTTACCTAAAACATAAAGTTCACCTTCACAAACCATGTCCTTAAACTTATTTAGGAATACTTTCCTTATAAATGTTTGGATTTGACCTCTCTATGAGGTTGTTAAGGAAAATAAATTAGTTCAAAATCTTATGATTACCCCTTGCAAAATGATGACTAATTCAATAGTAATATAACTCACATGGACATTGAGCAAAACCATCTCAACAGAAATAATATTGTGTTCATTACCATATCTAGTTATACTCTACTTGCGAATTACCCGTGCTTTAATTTTTCATGTTGATTTGAATAGAGAAATATCAAAAATCTTGTCTAAATTAGAAGTCATCTTTTCACAATCAAATGAGTGCCAAGATTACCTACCAAATTAACTTTCAATTATTAAAACCTCCAGTGTGACAGTGATGAACTTAACCAATTGTTAGTATTTAAAAAAAAAAACAATATATTTAAATAAAATATATTAAGTATGAATGAACATACCTATTCAGAAATAAGAGAATAGAAACTCTATTGAGTGTTCGCTATTATGATTGCAAAATAGATTATGAGCCAATTAGTACAAATAAGTAAATAGAAATAAGATAGGAGATAGGAAAAGCATAAAACTGTATGAAAATAGTTTGACAAACTTCTTAGATTCATTGGAAAATTGTGAGGAAGGTTTGCAGAAATTACCCACCAAATGCAAATACATTGTTCTGCATGAATGCTAGTCCGTTAATATCAAACGTGCAAACTGAGTTCTTAACTGGGAATGATTATAAGAAATATTTTTAAAATTATGGATAATTTTTTTAAAATATAGTAAATATTATTATTTTTGTTTAAGGTATTCTATTTTGATTTAATTATTTTTTATTATGTACTGTTAGAGTAATTATAAGAGAAAGACTCAATTCTTTCATAAAAATTATGAAAAGATTACAATATTAAAATTTAGATAAAATATTTAGATATTGTAGAATTGATTATTTTTAATCATTATGGGTGCTATTAGTATGGGTGTGACTATTATTTTATAGCAAAATATATGAATATAATTATAAAAGAAATTAAAGAGTATACTATAATAATTAGTAATTATTATTATTATTGCTTAAATTATTCTATTTTGATTTAATTTAATTTTTGATTATGCACTGTTAAAGTAATTATAGAAAAAACTCTCTCGTGTTAAGCCTGATTAAGAAACATATAATATAAAATAATTTAATATTTAGTTCAAATTATTTATCATTTTTTATTTAAATTATTTTATTGTATCTTTAATTTAAAGATTTTTTTCTTATTAGAAAGTTTTTAAAAAGAATTATAGACTATACTATAATAATTAGTCAATATTATTATTCTTGTTTAAAATATTCTATTTTGATTTAATTTTATTTTTGATTATGTACTGTTAGAGTAATTATCAGAAAAAACTCTCTTATCTTAAGCTTGATTAGAAAATATATAATATATAATATAATTTACTTATAACATAATCCAGATAAGATTGTGAAGGACTCCCTTGTAGCATGCAACATAAACATTAATAGATAATAGATAATCCTATTTTGAGTTAGGGATCAAAATTCCTTCAATTGACAATATGCTATAAAATTTACTTTAAAATATATTATTGTTTGAATTATAAAATAATTATTCTACTTTTTAAAAAAATTTCTGAATAAAGATATTTTTTATTGTGCATTATTATTATTATTGTTTATTTATGTTTTAAAAGTAAATTTTTTTATTTATGTAAAATATTTAAAAATCAAATTATTGCATGAAATTTTTACAAGAATATGTAATAATTCACATATAATATTAATAGTCATGACTATTTTTTTAATGTAAGATATACTGATTTAGTAGAAGACAACATTAAAATTATTTTTTATTTAAAATTAGTATATATTATATTATAGTGTAGAATATGTAACATCCTTATTTTTATTTAAAACAATAATAATAAAATTATCATATATTCCATTCATTTTGATCAATTGTACAAAACTTTGAATAACGAGTTGATAATGATTAAGCAGACTCTGAAGAAGAAGCATTAAAATACATGAACATACATTATTCTCATAATATACATAATGCTAACCTTTACAAAGTATTCATTAAAATACAATAAGATACATTAGGACTTCATTTCAAATATTTACAAAATACAAAACATAATGAGTTCTAATGAGCAGCCTATCCATCACGAGACCAAAGAGACACTAGTCATCTCTGTGTCATTCTTCTATCATCGCTATATCGTCAGAGTTGAGGTCGTCATCCGATCCGAGATATACATCACCAGGGTCTGCAGTAATTGTTACTAGGTGCCAGTAATTCTCTCGAACGTCTAGTGAGATGGTCTTCCAAGATAATCGTGACCATAATACGTGAATAGGTATGTCAAAGCTGCTGGGGTCCTCACAGTGTCAGGAAAGATATATATGTATAGAGTATGATGAATTCTGCTTACAGGGAAATAAAAAACAATACTAAAAGCTAATTATATTTTCATCATAATAAGGTCACTAGGTACATCACTTTCATATACAATAATCCTAAAGAAACAAAGGCTTGATACTCATTAAATACATAATTTAACCTATGAGTTACCGAACTATCTACAAGTCTAGTGCTCTCGGTGGGTGATGTCATCCTAATTTTCTAAAATGGTTATGTAAGGATGAATCTCTATTTTTATTACTAAACATACAATCACCAATAATTCAATGATACAGGTAAAGCAATCATACAAGCATCATATAATAATATTATTAATATTCTAAGTTATTTAACTTAAGTCCATTACTATTAATATTTTTAGTTCTCACTTTCATTGTCCCTGGGATCTCTCGAGATCTTTCTTAGCATAGATAGTCGTTGGATAGCCGCAGCTACACAGATACAACGTGTGTCGACCTAACCCCTTTTAGCAAAAGTATGGATAAAAGTATTAGTCAAGAAACGAGTGTGAGACCTATGATGCTTCTATTTTCATTTGTTTTGCATAATTCAAGAGGAGCATCCACCACTCTCATTTCCTCAAGACTTCTCCGTCGTCTCCATC